ATTCGCAAGTGACCGACCAGACCGATTCGTGAGGTGGAGTTTCAATCCCATGGAGGACAGGTTCAGTTCTGGTTATCAGCATTGGTGTCGACGGTTGTGGTGCTGGTGTTTGTTGTTGTGTCAGGATTGTGGGTAGTGATGATGTGCGTGACAGGCGCCACAGCGAAAACCGTTGGGGCAGCAGAGGCTGAATAGGAGAGGAGGAGGAAAAGGAGGAGGAGGATGGAAGTGGTTGTAGCAGAGGCTGAATAGGAGAGGAGGAGGAAAAGGAGGAGGAGGATGGAAGTGGTTGTTCGGGAGGGCGGTTAGAAATAATTGACGGCGTAGAAGGTGAGCTGAAAGACGACGGTTAGTGCAGTCCAAGTGGTGCAGTTGATCCGAAGGTGTCCAACAAATCCACTTGGTGCACAGGATATCCGCGGACACCGTGGACACGTTGGAGGCGGTTGTGCGTTGGCATTGCGAGGTGGACGCAGATGAGATTTGCGGGCTTGTCGTTTGGCTTTCGCGGCGGCAATGCGGTTTACCCCGTATATCACTCCGCCTGTCTTCACTGTCCTCCTCCGTGTCGGTCACGTGCGAGCGAGGCCTTCCCTGTTGGTTGGAGCATTTGGCAGGCATTTCAGGGAGGACTTCAGAGTATTCTTGTGGCGGCGGATTTGGCCTCCTCAGCGGCGAGAACCCGTGACGACTTCTCCATAGAAGAGTAGTCTGGGTAGCCTCCCGTCGCCCATCCACACAAGATTACCGCTCCATCGCAGTTGTAGTTATCTCAGCATGGCGTAGATGCTGAGGGTTCCCGTCGGCTCTACTACATCAGTGTCCGGAATTCGGTTCTTCCATCTCAGATTCATTATGCGGCGAAGACAACTGAGGTGGAAGTGGTTGAGTCGGTGTGCCTGCTTCATGTGCACCGTTCAAGTCTCTGTCCCATACAGCGACTTCGGGAGGCTGACAGCCTCATACATCTCCAGCTTCGCGCTGAGCTGAAGACCGTGACGATTCCAAACTGTGTTTTGAAGGCGGACGAAGGTTTGGCTTGCCTACGATATCCGGCGGGCGATTTCGTCGTCGATTTTGGTGTTGCGGGAGAGGGTACTGCTTAAGTATGGGAAGTTGTCCAACACTTGCAGTTTTGTTCCGTTCACGCTGATCTTCAGCGCATTGTGGAGAGGGGCTGTGTTGGGTGTCGGTTGATGCATAACCACCGTCTTCTCCGTGTTGATCACCAGACCGCAGGCGGCGGAGGAGAGATATATGCTCCTTTTCATGTCCGCTTCCGAGTTGGTGTTGCGGGCGCAGTCGTCGGCGAAGAGAAGCCCGTATACAGTGGTTTTGGATAGGCGCGACTGGAAGTTCATCCGTCGTTGTTTGAGGAGGTGACTATCCATACTGTAGGCGATGCGGATCCCGGGGTGCTTGTCACGGTAGGCGTCCATCAGCCTGGTAGATAACATTAGACTGAAGAGGGTAGACGCCAGGACGCATCCCTGCTTCACTCCGTTGGTCACTGCGAATGCCTCTGAGACAGCTCCGTTGTCCGTGACTCGCGCCATCATGCCGTCGTGCAGCTGACGCACCACCTGCATGAATCGCTCAAGACAGCTGAATTTCTGCATGATCTTCAAGACACCTTCACGATTCACCGTGTCGAAAGCTTTCTTCGAGTCCACGGAGGTAGAGTACAGGTGGGGCCGCATATCCTGGCATTTTTCCTGTAGCTGACGAGCGGCGAAGATCATATCCGTGGTCCCACGATGACGACGGAAGCCGCGTTGGCTTTCCGGTAGGAGACCCTCTTCTAGACGGTTGAGGAGGATGCGAGCGAAGATCTTTCCGGCGATGTTCAGCGAGGAGATGCCGCGACAATTGTCGCAGAGTTGGCGGTTCCCTTTTCGCTTATATAGATGCACGATTGTTGCGTCTTTGAAATCTCGCGGGAATTCGCCTTGACGCCACATCTCTTGGAAGCGCGCAGTCAGGTGATCCACGAGTTGGGGGCAGCCGTGCTTGTAGACGTCAGCAGGGATCTCATCCGATCCGGGTGTTTTCCCGCTGGAGAGTTACTGCACGGCCCTGATGGTTTCCTGGAGAGACCGTGGGAGGTCAAGGTCCACGTTAGTCTCCACTTGCGGCAAACGGACGATGGCGGCGTTGGAGATGGCGGAGGGGCGGTTGAGGACGCCTCGGACGTGCTCGGTCCAGCGTTGTAGAATTTGTGTCTTCTCAGTCAGGAGAGTACTACCGTCGGCGCTGAGGATAGGAGCAGTGCCATTCGTCGACGGACCGTAGACAGCTTTGGTCGCGGAGAAGAAATTCTTCCATTCGTTGCGCTCCGCGTACCCCTGGATCTCCTCAGCTTTGCGAGCAGTCCAGGCGTCCTGCATCTCGCGCAGTCGTCGCTGAAGGTGGCGGCGACTGCGGTTTAAAGAAGCTTTGTTTTCGTCAGTGGGGTGGACCACGTAGGCTTTGTGTAGGCGGTTCTTCTCGGCGAGCAGATTGCTGATGACGGCGTCGTTGTGATCGAACCAGTCTTGATGTTGACGGCGTGCATGACCAAGGACGGCCAGCGCCGTCGACTGGACCGTGTCTCGCAGTTGACACTATCGGTTGTCCACGGAGGTGTTCTCGGCGGAGGCGTCGGCGTCGGCAGCGATTGGAAGGTTGTCTAGCGGTTTGAGCTAGCTCATTGCTGAAATGGAGATGGTGAGCTGGCAAAGACAAGAAGGCAGTATTCAGCTTACCTGGGGGTCGCTTACCTTGTGGTCTCCTGCGAGGCTGTAGGCGAATACACATCTTCGAGATGACGAGGCGATGGTCGGTCCACCCGTCAGCAACCGCGATCGCCTTCGTCACCAGCACGACCCGCTTGTCTCGCCTCCGGACGAGGACATAGTCCAGCAGGTGCCACTGACGCGACCGAGGATGCCTCCAGGTGGCCTTCTCTCGCTCCGGCAAACAGAAGAAGGTGTTCGTCAGGATGAGGCGATGTTCTGCGCAGGTTCTTAGAAGCAGCAGACGCCGGGACGCAGCCCTGCTCCTTTCCGTTGGTCACTGCGAATGCCTCCGCGACAGCTCCGTTGTCCGAGAACACACCCAGACACACACACGCGCGAGAGTACGACCGTCGGTTACGACGATGTCTACCGTACAGCAGTATGAGAGCAGGGACGGTGACGTATGCACACTCTCCCGCTCCACCACCTGGACCCGGTGTCAGGACAGAGTCAAGAAGACCGGAGATGGGGGGGGGCGCATGTGGATGGCACGGTCGAGCCCATACTTTGGTGTTCTACTCCACACCCCCTGGTCCACACAGCAAATAACCAGGTTTTTGATTGAGCACAACAATTGGGGGCATAGCATGGGTCCCAGTGTGCAAGACGTACGCCGGCAATCGCGTCCGCCACCGTACCCTAAAATGTTGGCGCAAAGCAGACAACGCTGGCCGCAGTACAGTATGGCTCCCGTGTTGGTCCAGCGCATCTTCCGCGTGGCCCGTTTCGGGGCCAATCATGGTTTACTGGTTCCCAGTCCATCAACAAGTGCAACGATCTTCCCACTCCATAGTGCGTGCTAAAACTTCGCCTAGGCGGAGTAACAAGCCATGCGGGGAGCGCAGAGGTGAACACTTTTCCCAACACCGGGGTCGGTGCGTCAGATGGTCGAGAACTCATCACGCCAACATCCAACGCACGTGATGAAATTGCAGCAATTATCGACTCGAATGTCGGCCATCGAGCAGTGATCACACCAAGTGCGACGATACCGGATGAAGGGGGGAGCCGTGAATGTTCATAGGTATGCGGTAGC